CCAGCCACTCCGTGGGAGAAAGAGGAGACATCTTGCTCCATCAAAGCTTGACAGCCTCAGAAACCCACAGGGGCAGTTTTGCTCCACCGGTGGGGTCTCATCGACTCAATGGCACTGAGTCTCATTTACTTTTGGAGGAGGCTGAGCAGCTGCCCGCCCTCCTGTCCAGCCACCTCGCCCGCATAGCTTTCCATTCGACGTCCCGTTTCCTCCTCATTCCCTCTGAGCTGGTCTGCAAGGCTCCCAGAGGGTCTCGCACCCAGAGGTAATAATTCCGGAGTGGCATTTCCACCTGCTCCCAAGAGAACAATCGAGTTGGGCTGAGAAATACCAAGGGGTTTCAAAAAGTTGGTGGGAAAGTCCCAGTCTTTCCCAATCCCATCCCATCCCGCCCTCCCTACCCCCTCCCGCCCCTGCTCCCCTACAAACTTCCCGAAGGCTCCGAGTATAATGAAGAAACATAGGGACCCACATTGTGGGCCTGGATCTTGGGAACACACGCACACCTTCCATTTCTGTGGATCGGTTGGGAATTCCTTCCTGAATGTAGAGAGAACCTTATTTCTCAAAATGGAGTGGCAGGGTAGCGCTTGCCCCCAAAGCAGAGCTCAGGAGGCAGGAAAGGGCAAGGAAGAAGGACCAGGGGAATCGGAGGAGGATGTTGGGGGTGGGGTGGGGAGGTGGAGAGCTGTTATATCCAGGGGGCTGCAACTCATATCATGAAACAAGATGTATACGGGTGGTTGGATGGGGAAACCGATTTGCTCTGTAAACTCCATCCAAACAGCAAGACAAAGTCAAAGTACAAGCAGCCCCCCAAACCATGCTTCAGCACTCTCCTCCAACCCCAACCCAACCAGAGCCAGCAGAACCGGGCCTGGCTCTTTTGACGTTAAGTCTGAATGTTCTAGAAGCAGGCTCGCAGGTTGCCAGTTTATGCGGCTGAGAAGGCCAGCCCACACTGAGACACTGGGCTGTTTTACTTTTGATTCTCAGGAGGAAGAGAGAGAAGGGGGCTGACGTGTGCATGGCCTTCACAACCCAATGATCCTGGAGATTCCTTTGGGAGCCTTTGCCCCCCACAGGGGAGAGGGCCATGCCACAGCCCCTTACCTTGATGACAGACAGCATGCCCTCATTGGTTTGAGGGTTGGTGTGGATCTCGAAGCTCTGCCCGGGGTTTCCGTTGATGATGGTGTAGGCAGCCCGCCATGCACCCGTGGTGGGGTCATCCTTGTCTTCCACTGTTAGGTTGACAATCACTCCCACAGCCCCTTCCTCCACAGTGGCTTGAAACTGCAAACAAAGAAGGGGCAAGGGTCACTCTTTGGGGTCAACATAGGACAGACCAGTGATGGTCCACTGGCATGGCATACAGTTTGTTGATCATGGAAAGGTTAGGGGTTCGTGGACTCAGGGCCTCTAGGCCTAAGACTACAGTCATGGAAAACCCTTTGAAGATGAGTTTTGCTCTGACACACTGGGGGTCGTCATGAAGCTGAATCAGCTCATGGGTTGGACTTGGTTGGTGGCCTTCACTCCCATGACCGTGGATTTGATTCCTGCTACTAGCTACCCCATAGGACAGAGGAGCACTGCTCCACTGGGCTTCCAAGGATGTACATCTTTACGGAAGCAGGTGCCTCGTCTTTCTGCTGGGGAGCATCAGGTGGGTTCCAACCCTTGACCACTGGCTCAACCCACTCACGCCACCAGGACTCCCTTGTTCCACTCACTGCTGTTGTGTTGACTCTAACTCATAGTGACACTAGAAGGCTGTTCTACAGGGTTTCTGGGGGTGCACATCTTCATGGGAGCAGACAGCCTCATCTTTTCCCTTCAGAGTGGCAGGTGAGTTCGAACGGCCAACCTTTGGGCCAGTGACCAACACTTAACCCATTGTGCTTCCAGAGCTCCTTGAGGTGACCAGATGCTGGTTAGTGGGAATTGGACATGCACCATCTCAATGAACAAGAGATAAAAGCAGAGGTGGTCCTGCCCTGTGGGGGCTATGCCCTCTCTCAGTCTTCCTTGCACTCTTAATTGTAGCTAGGTGTCCTGAGAAGAGGGGACCAAAGGGACATTTGTGCTCTTGGGCTGGCCTGGCCAGAGAGGCCTCCTCTCTGAAGTCTGTCTCTTTCTGCAGACCACCCCAAGAGGAGGGCGGGCCCCAGGGGAAGGAGCTTGGATCCCCGAATCTCAACCTGGAGGAGAGAGGTCTGAAGCGCAGGAAAACCAATCCTGAACTGCTGACAAGAGAGGGATGACTGTCTGTGGAGTTCAAGCCCTGACACACTCGGCACGTATTGAATCTTTCGTGTCGTTTTTTAGCACGTATTTATTCTTGTGGCCACATCTACCCTACAAGGCATGGTAGCCTGGTCCCAAGAGTATCACCAATTGTCTGTGGAGGGTGGGGGCTTGACTTTGACGACAGAACCTCTGCTATGCCCTGTTGTCTTCTCCCATGAAGAACATTCATTTTATCTTGCCCACTCTTTGTCCACAACTAGCATGGCTTAAAACACACACACACACA